AAGCAATGTTAATAATATGTATGCTGAGCAATATTCATTGGGGGTTACAGGTGTAGGGTCTGTCTATCAAGTGTCCCCACACCCTCTCCCCTCTAGATGACAAGCTTTGTTGCCTTTATAGTAACTCTAGAACTGCAGTATGTAGTCCTTGGTCCGGCCGGTTTTACTTTGTGATGTAATTTTCAGAAAGAAAATAAGGTTACAATATAAAAGAAACTTTCCGAGTGTTTATTGATCTGTCTGCCTTCTTAAGCTCGATTCGAGGTTTTCGTGGTGCTAGTAAAGGCTAGAAATCAGAACGTAGGTGAATTTTGTTGTGTAATTTTTGTCTTTTTTATGGCGCCTTCAATTACTTGGATCTATTTTGAATTCACGCATATGCGATTAAGTGCGTGAAGAAAGCAAATTTTTTGTATACATGGTGTACAAGAAATGTGAGTTCTTTTGAACTGCAAAAAAAATTCGGTCAACAGGTTGAATTTTAAAACCAAAGTTTTAGATAATATTCCAAAGTAAATTTTGTGTTCAATAGCTACGGCCTTGGTCCGGCCACCCGACGATAACATAAACCAGCCAAATTGTGATTGAAAAAGGAGAGCCTAAAAACGTTCAGTTTTCGTTTGGTTTAGTTCTTAGTAAATTAAGATTTATGAATTGAAGTGAGGATCTTTCAACTTTGAGTCACATTTTAAGTAAAGTTTTTCAGTGAGTGGAGTAAATCATAAAAACCGCATGCAGCGAGACTTTCCCAGTAGCACTGCACTTTATTAATTGTATAAGTAATGATCAAGAAGGCCATAAAAAGGAAGCTTATATCCGTCCGATTGGTTTAGCAAGGTAAAAAAATTCAAGAAATAGGTTTTAACAAGCAAAACATTACTCTGCACGTGCGTGAAGACGCACGCTTTTTCGTCGGATTTCTGTGTAGTCCCTGACGGGAAGGGTTTTTTTTGACAAGCGACGATTGCACGACAAATTTCGCACCGAATCGAAACCATTAATTCTTTATGAGACCAAATTATAGCTCTACACAGAAATCTCGTTTTGGTTTCGAAGATAAAAATAAATGATGGCTGTAGAAAATATACAGGAATTTAGATCAGTTTGTGTTTAGAACGTTTCTTTTTGCGTACAGTTTGGGTCAGTTTGCATGCCGGCTTACAAGTGGCCAAAGGGGCCGGACCAGGGACCTTCAAACGGAGCGGTCATTTTCTATGATGCAGGATTTTCGGCAAAGCTCAGAAGCTGTCGGTTTGTCACAAGTAAGTAAATTGTTACGGCAACTTACAGGACAAATTTCAGCTCACTACTCCTCTTCTAAGATGAGAAATACCGGTCATTTACGTCGTTTTCGTCCGGACCAAGGACCACATACTGTAATATTACAAACTAAAATATTACAAGTAATCAAAAATTAGTATTGAGGAATTTATATCACAAATTCAGTATAACTACATTCCAAACTTCCTGACCTTCGCTCTACCACTTGACCCATAACTCAGGTAAATAGAAAATCTATTCACAAGTTTACAAAATCTGTGTCCATACGTTGTGTGGTGGAGGGCGACTTGGCTGAAAAGTTCAGCTCTCTGAGATCAGAAGATTGCTAAGCCTCCTCCGTGAAAGCTTTGATTGATTGAGCGTGTCTTTGTTATGAATTACATACAGGGTGGTGCTAACTGAAAATTTGCACTTAAATATTAGTATGGCTAGTCTAGCTTTATATATTTCAGAAAGCTTTGCCCAATTGGCTAACTCTCCTTCATTAGTTGAGGGTGTGTCCTTTGGTAGCTTATATATGAGTCTAGCAGCGCGGCAGTGTATTGCCTCCAGGGCTGCAAAGCTCTACGTATGTACACAACCCCCCAAACAGGTAGTGCGTGAGTTATAGATAGTAAAATAACCTTATTATACAGATCCAAGACCATAGATCTGGGCAAAAAGGGACTTCGCTTCAGAAGAGATAAGTTATTTACAAAGACGTTTCTTTGAGATCTGATAGGTGCTTGGTCAATGTGAGTTTGTCGTCTGCAGTAACCCCCAATAATCTAAAGTGAGGCTGACCCAGTTGATAATGCTGACATTTAAGACCAAGCCTGGTAAGGGTCCAGCAATGAATTTCTTTCTCTTGAGGATCATTCCTTCGCACCTTTTGGGGTGAGGGATTAAAGAATTTTGTTTACGCCACGTAATTAAATCCGCGAGGGCCATGTTGAGCTCAGCTATGACCTCGCCCACTGAAACACCAATGCAATAAATTGTTGTATCGTCCACGTACATGAAAGTCGTTGTGGACTTGATAGCTCCTGGTAGGTCATTAGTGTATAGCGAGAAGAGTGTTGGACCCAGGACACTCCACTGCGGGATACCAGCTGTAACCTTTGCTTTATCCGAGGGAGTCCCATTTACAACAGTATACTGCATTCTATCCATAAGACTTACAAATTACTCGGAGTAACCCCCGCAAAACGTCTGTATGCCCTAAGACTATTAAAACGCGCAGGCTTCAACCCACATGACATCTTGAAAGGGTATATAAGTTACGATTCAAGTCTGGCAGGACATGTCTGATAGCTTAATAATATGTATTCAAGAGAGCACTCAAAATTATATATCCTGAATGCACAGACTATAATCAAGCCCTTTTAGAGGCAAACGTCTCATCTCTAGCAAATAGAAGGGTTTACCTGTGTCGTCAATTTGTCTCTGATATGGCTAGCAATCAAGAACTGTCTCTTGTAATTTAAGATCTGGTAGTGAAAGAACAATAAACAAATTAAATAGCCAACGATCTTAAACATGATTACCAGTACAATTGTATACTCCTAACATAGTTATGTTGTATTTTTTCCATTGTATACATATCACTTGTTCATTCAGTATTTTTGAACTGCAAGAAAGTGAAATCAACTATTTTGTTTATTTAATTGATTTATTTAAGGTAGTCCTGCAGCCATAGCAGTAAGTTTCCGGGTATCCCGAACAGTTGACAGGGGCACCCAACGACGGTTTC